TCTCTGCCAAGTGGGCAAATAAGATATGGTACATAATACTTGGGGCCTTACTTTATTTTTTTAAGATGATATTTATTATTTGTTAATGAAGGAGAGAGCACAATGGGGGGAGGTCCAGGCAGAGGGAGAAGAAGGCTCCCTGCCGAGCAAGGAGCCCAAGGCAGAACTCAATCCAAGGACCCCAGGGTCCTGACCTGAGCCAAAGGCAGATGATTAACAGACTGAGCCACCCAGGTGTCCCCCCGAGGGTCTTACCTTAGATGGGGTGACACAGTGCCTCTCTGAGGAGGTTGCATTTAAGGAGAGATGGGAGGATGACAAGATGTGGGAAAAGGAATTGAGGCAGCAGGAAGTCCAGCTGCAAAGGTCCCCAAATGGGTGCAGGCTACCATTTGCAGGGAAGCAGGAGGCCAACGTGGCTGCAGAGCAGGGATGGGGAGAGGTGGAGATCTCGAGTATGTTTGGATAGATGCATGATTCTTTCCAGCTGCCCCTTTCTTGAGTGCATTTGTCAGTCCTTCGTGGCTGAATGGTTCAAGGTCATGGTTAAAACAGGTTAAACATGGGTCTGTGCAGCCCACCGTTCCCCACATAAGAGACTTTTGCTAGAAGGGGATAACTCTATTCCTCTTTTTATGTTCCCTGACCATCACTTTTAATGATTACACGAATTGGATAATGAAGTCATGGAAAGTCAACTTGAAGCAGATGATCAGCTATAAGCGGAAGTCTGCTGCATATCCAAGGGCACAATCATGTGAGACCCTGATTTTTGATCTTCAGAGATGACCTACTCATTATGTGCGAGCTCTTTCCTGAACCATCAGGGTAAGTTGTCATGGAAGCAGGGTGGGAAGATGAGCATCTGGAGTTAATCGCACCCCCCTCATCAAGGCTCCTGAAAACATTCTCTGGCTCCAGAGACCCTGCTGCTTCTCTGTCCCTAATCAGTAAGAGTTGGCTTTACCACTTCCTGAGAGAGCCACCTTGCCTGCCTTCAGCTGCCTTGGCTTGAATCTCCTCCTCACAACAGAAAGCCAAATCATCTCTACTCCACAGATGGTAAGAAGGAGTAGAAGAGGTTGCACATTCCGAGTGTGTTGCTGGACTCAGTGGCACCCAGAAATCTGTGGGTTCATGCTGAGGGTGATGAGGAGTGATCGCTGGGCTCCTTAATGCTGTGTGACCACTACATGGAGATGGACTCTGGGGAACCTGTAGTACAAGGGAGATGTCTACTCTCAATGCGCAGAGAGCTAGCCACCGGCCGACATGCTCTTTGGGGGGGAGGGGTGGCGCAGCAGGAACACTGTCTCTAAGGGGATGTGGGCTTTAGCTTTCAGCAGACTTTCTTCCTTGGTCTACTCCATGTTGCAAAAATTATCTGCCTAGGAGCACTCAACCCATGGGAGCTCCTGTCAAGGAGGGAGAGTGAGCAGAGAATGTTCCAGATCCAGAGTTAGATGACAAATAAGGGCCAATGGCAGGCTGTGGGCTGGGGACAGCCAGAGGCTGTGGAGTCTGGGGGCAGCACTGGAGGACTGGGAAGAACTTGGCTTCAACCCAGAGCTGGCTTGGAGTGGTTGCTCCAGGTCTGCCCTTATTTGCTCATGACCTGGGGTTATGTACCTTACCTCCTTGTGTTTCCACATCCACTCCTGCAAACTGAGGTTGCTGAGAGCATCAAACTCCCAGGTTGGTCATGAGGTTAAGAAATAATTCATTAGCTATTTGGCACAAACTGACTAAGTGGCAGCTGCTTATTTAGGTGTGGAAGAACAGTGAACTGGATGCCCTTCGCATGGATCTTCCATGAGACACTAGACAAGCAGAACAACTGTCACATAGTGGTAAGTACTCTGCACAAGGTACAAATGCAATGGAGAGATGCAAAAAGGTGGACAGTAGCTTTTACGGGGTGGTCAGGGAAGGCCTCCTTGAGGAGGAGACATCTAACGTGAATCAGAGTAAAGGGCCTTAGCAATTAGTCCTTTCAGAAGGGCCCTGGCCTCTACAGAACACCCTCTTCCCCAAGCAAGGTGGAAGGAAATGTACACTCATGGGCATCAGTAGGTCTTTGTGGTGCATGAGGCTCATGTCTGTGGCTTCCAGCCTGCTCCTGATCCCTTGTTCCTGAATTCCTGCCCTGCTTCAGCATCAGATGAGGATGCAGTCTGACAGACACTGCTGAATCAGCAAGGACCATTGCATGAAATCCTTTCAGAAGACATGACATTCACCAAGACCATGGTCACTATTTTCTAGGGGGGAGCCCAGGCTTCTGTAAAGAGCTCTGTGTGGCTCTTTTCTTCTCTGGTGGCCAGAAATTACTGTGGGCTTGCCCTTGAGGAAGGACCATGCTACGCTGCCAAATGTTTATGCTGTTAATTGTTACCTCATTCTTCCCCCAGCTGACCTGTGACCAAGTACTAGCATGACAGTGCACCAAGAAAAGGTTAGATAGTAATGAGAATTCTTAAAGATTATTCAATATAGTATAACAGAATGACACTGATTCCAGGAGACCCAGGCTTCACTGTGGTCCACCAGGCCCAGAGAGGGACAATGGAGGTCAGGTTATTAATGGAATTTTACCTCAGTATGGTCTACCAGTGGTCTCAGGTTTTCCCCTAATCCATCCACAGACAACCATCAAGAATTTGGAAGATACATGATGGTAATTCTGAATATGTCCCTTTCATCTTAATTATTTGGCACGTGCAGAACTCATAGATCTTGGAGAATGACAGCCAATTATAAACTTAGTTGGTTGCTGACTTTAATTACAATGGCTGTGTCACTTGTGGCTCCACTGAATTATCCAACAATACATTCCAGGGCATCTGGTGTATCTATTCGGTTGAGCAAATGCTTTTTTTCTCTTACAGGAAATATCACCAGAAAGAGTTTGCCTTCAGCTGGAAAGGGCACCATCACTTCCTACCTCAGGCTTCTATCAACTCTCTAAGCTAATTTCAGAAACTGTTCCTTAGGGATCTTGATCACCTTTCCCTTACAACGGACACCACAGTATTCCTTTCATTGATGACATTATTCTGATTGAGAAGTAGAAACTAATAGATACATTGGCAACACACATGAAAGATAGAACATAGGAAATAATTCCCACACAAAACCAGATGCATTATAACTTAATGAAATGTTTAGAGATTTAGTATTCTGGGGTAGGACAAGATTGTGCTTCTGCAGTGAATAGCAAATCCATAAATCTCAACTTTTTTATCATTAAAAAAGGGACACAGCAAAGAGTAGGTGTATGAGGTGCTAGTGATATCACATATGTTTATGGTTTTGTGGTACTATGACCCCCTCACAAGACCAGCTATCTTGGAGTGAGGTCTAGCAAAAGACCGTTCTCTGACCCTACACCTATGGCCTCATGGGGAGCTCCCTGTGACCACTGGACTAGAAAAGACAAAGTATCATGCTTGATTTTCAGTTGGGATATTCCAATATGCAGGCACTTGTCCATATTCATTTTCTAATAGCACACAATAAGTTACCCCATATTTAGCAGTATGAAATGACACAAATGAATGATCAAGGAGTTCCATAGGTCAGAAGTTCAGGCAGGCTCAACGGGGTTCTCTGCTTAGGGTCTCACGCAATTGTACTCAAGGTATTGGCCATGCTAGGTCATTAACTGGATACTCGGAGGGAGAAACTGCTTCCAAACCCTTCCAGGTAATTGGCAGCTCTAGTTTCCTAAGGTTGTAGGAGTAGGGTCCCTATTTCCTTGCTGTCTCTCGGCTGAGGCCATCCTGAACTCCTAGGACCACCCCCATACCTCCCTAGATGTACCCCTCCATCTTCCAAGAAGTAGTAATGCATCATGGTCATGAAAGCAGGGATGCAGATTATGCATGGACCGTAAACATGAACTTCCACTCAGCAAGACTGATGGTGTTGCCGATACTGCTGACTGCTCCATCTGCCAGCAGCACAGACCAACACTGAGCACCTGATATGGCACCACATCCCCCAAGTGGTCAGTCAGCTAATATCAGTAGGCAGATGGATTATTGTGGTCTCCTTTCATCAGGGAAAGCTAGCTCTTTATACTCAAATGCATCTTCCTTTCCACTCAGAGATTTTTGAGAAAACCAACATTCATGGATTTAGAAAATGCTTTATCCACCATCATGGCATTCCACACAGCATCACTTATAAACAAGGAAATTGTTTCTCAGGGCACATGCTTATGTAATTCAGTAGGTGTATTACCTACCTCATCATCCTAAAGTGAGTTTCAAAAAAGTCCTGGAACAATCTTTTAAAGCCACAATCTGGTTCTAACTTGGCAGCAGTACCTTGAGGGGCTGGGGTAATATAATTTAGAGGATATCAATCCTCTACCTCATTGGCCAGTATATACGGATATCTCTCCCACAGACACAATTCACACCTTTATTAATGAAGGGATGGCAGTGTGAGGGACTCCTCTCACTATTACTCTTCTGTATCCAGTAGCCAAATTTTGCTTCTAGTCCCCATAACCTTAGACCTCCCTGCACTAGAGGTCTTTATCCAAAGGATAAATGTTTTCCATAACAGCCCTAACAATGACTCCATTGAAATGGAAATAGACTCTGCCAAGGGTTCAGGCTGCAGTGCTCCACTCCCTCAGTCCTCAGCAAACATTGGGCTCCTACACAATGGAACCTGATGGGTAAGGATACAGGGCTGCCAGGACACAAGACGCTGAGGAGGACTCTACGTCCACAATGTTTGGGCTTTTCTCAGCACTCTCATGTTGGTGATTAAAGTCAAAGGAAAATTATAGTTCGGGCAGGACGTCTAAAGATCCGGCCCATTGGTAATTAAGCTGTGAGTCATCCCCTGAGGCCGTATGACCCCCCTGAGTGACTGTCTCAGGCAAAAGAAAAAGAAATGCAGAATGTATAGGGTGCTGACTGGCTCAGTGGAGCATGTGACTCTTGATCTTGGGGTTATATAAGCCCCAATTTGGGTGTAGATATTACTTAAAATATAAAATTTTAAAAAAGAAATTGCTAGTGTGGAATATACTAGAAATACCAGCTAAAGGCCTGTGACTTGCTGAGGAGCTAGGATGTAGTATAAACCAATGACTTAACAGCATTCCTGCACTTTAGGGGGAAAACAAACAAACAAACAACAAATTATCCTTTTAAATGAATTGATAAAGCAAACTTAGTACCAGAATTTTATAACATTAAAGTTCCGATGCTTTTTCTTAGCTTCAAGTAGACAATTCTTAACTAACATGGGCTAGGAGGCATCAACAATATCCCATTCCATTCTAGGACAGCAAACTGGTTCTGGTTACATATTGATAACTTGGTGACAGAATTATAAGTTTGAGGTATGATTCTCATTGTTGAGAAGGTGGTCAGATTCTAATTTTTCTAGTACCTCCTCCAGGTGCCTTATTCAGTCTTGTCTTTTAAATCTGAAAATAAAGAGACAAGTCATTAACCAAAAGACACCAAACAACCCATAATCTGGTAGGCTCTGTGGGTGATAAAAAGGGAGCTTACAATCTACGTGAGAACAGAATATGGACCTTTTGTGGTAAGGGACAATCCAGCAAATACAAAGAGCGTCAGTTCAGGGTCAACACCTACCTCAAACTATGGTGTGAACAGAAGTCTCCTGGAACTTGGAAGAGTGAGTAAGACTCAGATAATATCAATCTAAATAAAAACAGAGAAAACATGAAACCTGAGTGAGGACTTGGAATTGAGAAACACCAGGTAGGGTCCAACCCCACCCCTCACCCAGCACCACACTGACCTTGCTGTGCTACAGAGCTTCTCTCTATACCCAACTTGCTGTTTCTTTGACAGACAATAAAACAAAATTTGTTCCACAATTCTTGAGGTCTTTACACTCCTTCAAGCAATTTGAAGACTTTTTCATATTCTGGAGATATTTAGAGAAAAAAAACTTCCAGTATTTCTAAAGTACAATGAGGAGGTAGAACTCAATCTTGGTGTCTCAGCAATCATTCAAAGACTAGAATGTTACAGAAGACCTGTGTTATCCATCCTTACATTCAGACATTTGAACATATCCACCAATGGGACTCTGGTACACAACTGCCAATTAAGAAATACAAACAAACAAACAAAAATTTCTGTTTCAACTGTTAAATGTCATAGATTTCACCAAACAAAACTCTTTTGAGTATTAAATGAGAAAACGTAAGTCAGAAAGAAAGAAAGAAAGAAAGAAAGAAAGAAAGAAAGAAAGAAAGAGACAAAAGAACAACAACAACAACAACAAAAGGTTTACTGGGACATTTCAGTCAAAATAAAGAGGAACCATCCTAAATGATGTGAAAACCCAATTTGAGGAAAAGATGAGCCTCAAGAGGTCCGTTAGATCTAGTCTAAATCATAGAATGGGAAAGACTTCCTGTGGTTTCACTGATAAAAATTCTTACCATACTTATGTTGTCCATATCGTCGAATTTCATTCTTTAACTGATGTTTCATTTCAGCACTAATTTCCACTGGTATTGGCAGTTTATCTGGCATTTCTTGGGACACAGGCATTGCTGTGACCATGGGATCATCTGCAGAGAGACAGCTGGGAATTCTTCCTACCAGGTCCGTGAATCGGCCCACCCTTGTTGACCCTGGCTAAGTCAGGACACAAAGAATCTAATTGTGTGGAATACCGTCTCCTGCCATACTCACAAGCTCTGGAGATCAGATTTAGACCAGAAGCCATCAGGTGGGAATCGACCACTTCCCCTCCCCGCCCCGTACATACTGTGAACGACAGGTGCCTCTGGAAATCTAACTGAATGAGGAGCTACAATGATGTGCATTTCAGCAACCCCATGTGAACATCCACATGCTTCACAGTCTCTAATATTTCTTTTCATAGCAGGAGAATATACCAGATAGAAGAATCAGACCTAAAAATTTGACCTCAGGAAAAATAATACAACAAAGGAGCCTCTTCTATTCTTGTCACTACACATACACACAGAAACAAAGTAAGACAATATAACTAATTAACAAACATTCACAGAGCCCTGGCACTCATGACTTCATGTCATCATGATTGCCCTCTACAAGGTGAAGAGATGAACATGTCACTTGATGTCAGGATGCCTGATATTGGCACTCCATCACTAGAAATCCCAGTCAACACATGATCTTCCTCATCAGTCTTTTGTCTCAGGAGGCCAATTTTTTTCTACACCAAGTCTGACACCTCAACTGCATTTAGTCATCCTTCTTTGTGCCAGGCATGTGCAAAAACTTGGAGCTTGGCAGGGAACCAGAGAGACAGAATGGACAAAGACAATCCCAAACCTCATGGAACTTACATCCTCATAGGGAAGGCTGATGGTACATGTGAAAAAGGCAAAAGATTAACACAGTTGACTTTGTGTTAGGAAGGAAGTCAGCAGGGATATGACTGAGAGCAGGAGGGGAAGCCTCCATGATGTGAGGTCGGGCAGGGTGCTCTGAGGAGGTGACCCCTGGGCAGAGCTTGGAGCAGGAGCAGGAGTTAGAGCAGGCTTATGCACACCCATGTGGAGGAGTTCCAGCTGCTGTGAGGGCCATGCAGAGCCCCTAGAAGGGGATGAGCTGGATCGGTAAACAAATGTCAGAGGCAGAGAGAGCAAGAAGGACATGGAGAGGACACATGAAAGCAGAAGATGGCATGGTCAGGTCATGCAGGGCCAGGTTGTGTAGGGCATGGAGACCAGCGCTGGGAACTCCAACTCTGTTCTGACTGCTCGGGGAGTTGATGATGGGTCTCAGGATATGCATGTCATGACCTGATTTCTGTATGGACATGGTCACTCTGGGTGCATAGGAACAAATAACCTACAAGGTCAAGTGGGAAAGCAGGACACAAGCTCAGAAACTACTGGAGCAGCTTGCTGAGTGATGAGGCAGTGTGGAGTGAGGGACAGTGGAACAGTGGGACTCAGGAACAATGACAGTATTATGAGGAGAAGAAGAAAATCAGACAGGAGAACAAAGGCAAATTCAATGAGGAAAAGGAAACCAGTAGAGTGCAGAGTTTGGGAATCCAGGAAAACTTCCATAAGGGATAGAGTGAACACCTGGTCTGGTGTGGTTGAGAAATTAATGGCAGCCTCACCCAAAGCCAGTGACCTTAATAGGAACTACTCTTCTGGAGTAGATGAGACAGAGGCAGGGTTCACAGGGTCAAGTCAGGAAGGGGACATGAGGACAGGCACCCTCACCATCTTCCAAGGACACAGCTGACCCCCCGGGGTGGGATGCTCCCTCTCCTTCCTTTTTCACTGACAGTAGCAGCATGCTCAGCATTCTTTTAGGTGGAGGAGGACTTGTGGGTTCTCCATGACGTTTCATTTGGTTTTCAGGTCCAGCAGCAGACTCCTCTGCTTTATCACTCTTCACTTCCTAAGGAGAATCAGGAAACAAGTTCCGTTACTGACAAAAATGTAACCATGCCCAAACTGCATTCTACATTTGTATATACAACATGCATCTGCATCATTTATATGAGTTTTCTCAGGGGCCAAGGTTTACCATGCCCACAAACACTCTGTATGGGAAAACGGAGGAAGTTAATATACCAGTGTAGTCCAAAGGCAAATGCTGTACATGATGAATCAGACTGCTTGCAGAGAGGAGATAGTCCAAGATGGTGGAGGAGTAGGAGACAGTAGTTTCATGTAGTCCATGGACTTCAGCTAGATAGCTGTCACATCATTCTGAACACCTGGAACTCAACCAGAGATCTAAGAAATGGATAGCTGCAACTCTACAAATAGAAGAGTGACCACTTTCTGCAAGGTAGGAGGTACTAAGTGAATCCTAGGCAATAAATGGGAAGATAAACCATGGGGGGAGGTGGCCTCCATCAGCTGGCACAAAGTAATACAGCAGCAGAGAACACAATCAGAACTTTTAGAAGTCTGCTCCAGTGGGGGACATCCCTGCCTCCAAGGCACTCAGGTGGTGAAGTGGGGCAGAGCACTAGTTGGGAAAGTGTGGTCTCAGGATCCTCAGGAAGGAAGACCAGGGATGCCTGACAGCAGCAGAGTTCCCAGGCACTGGAGTGGGGAATCCAGCTGTAATCAGCAAGCCTGGGAGTGAACTCTCAGCTAGGGGTTGCCATATACTGTGAACTGGGGCACAGTCAGGCAAGTGCTCCCAGAGTAGGGGTCCAGCAAGTGGCAGAACCATTACAGGCCCCCCCTTCATCCCTGGGAAGAATAGCACAGGTGCACCCCATAGGAGTCTGCAGGGTTTGGAGCTCAAAACAGGGTCATGTGCCTGAGATAGAAACACTCAGTCACAGGCTGGGTGAGCACAGAGTGCGGATGGAGACCTGGGAGACAGGAGTGATTGGCTGCTTTTCCCTGAGGGCACACTGAGGAGGGGGGCCCCCGTGCTCCGGGGATGGAGACTGGGAGGCTTCCATTTTCGTTCTCATCCTCTAAAGCTGCGCAGAAAGCCTTCAGGGAACAAAAGCCACATAGAACAATCCAGAGCAGCTTACTTAGCCAGGTCCCCTTGCATGGGCTGTGCAATTCTACCCAGGGCAAAGCCACCTGAGAATACGTGCAACAGCGCATCACAAAGGGACCCTACCCTCTTGTTCGTCAGCCTCAGCCTGTCCCTCTTGAAAGGGTCGTTGGCAGGAAAACCTGGGGTCACAGCCCTTCCCTGTCTTCAGACAGGAGAGCCATCGTGCGGCTGCCTGGTGGATGAGATTGAGGCCGGGAGCCCAGAGACGGTGCAAGTTGGCCTGGAAGCCACAGGGCCACGCCCACACACCCACCGTCCCCACGAGATCAGTCCCCATGGTGCAAAAAGTGCCCCAGGAAACAGATGTCTCCCCTGGTGGCTGGGCTGCATGAGCCGAGTAGAAGATCAGCAAGAACATCAGCTAAGACCGAGTTTACCCATCACAGAGAACTGCAAAATTCCAGTGCTAGTAGGAAATAGGATATAGAATTCATAGTTTTTCCACTGGGATTCTTTAGTCTTTCAATTTTTTTTGAAGTTATACCAGTTTTTCTTTCAAGGTTCCAAGATTCATTGTTTATGCACCACACCCAGTGCTCCATGCAATAAGTGCCCTCCTTAATACCCAACCCCCAGGCTCACCTAACCCCCCACTCCCCTCCCCTCCAAAATCCTCATTTTGCTTCTCAGAGTCCATGGTCTCTCATGGTTTGTCTCCCCCTCCAATTTCCCCCAATTCACTTATCTTTTCCTTCTCCTAATATCCTCCATGAGTCTTTCAATTTTAATTTTTTTCTCTTTCCTTTTTCAAACAATTTCTTATTTTATCAATTTAAAAAAAAATCTTTTTGAATTTCCATTTTTAGTTACATTCTGTCCTTTCACTGTATTTAGTTTTGTGTGTGTGTATGTATATATATATTTTTTCCTTCTTTACAATTTTGGGATGTAGTTTTTTCTAACAAATGGACCAAAATACACTCAGGATCCAGCATATTCCTCTGTTCTGTTCACCTGTCTGATTATATTCTCTCTCCTTTTTTTAAACTTTTGTTTTGGTTTGGTATTTCAAATCTCTTCTAATGTGTTTAGTGTATATTTCACTGGGGTCATTGTTGCCATCTAGGTATTTTATCTCTCGTTCATCTGTTTTTCTCTGGACATAATGTCAAGACAGAAAAACTCACTTCAAAAAAGAGAACAAGAGGGAATACGGACTGTCAGGGACCTAATCAGTATGGACATAAGTAAGATGTTGGAACTAGAAGTCAAAATAATGGTTATAAAGATACTAGCTTGGTTAGAAAAAGCATAGAAGACACTAGAGAATCCACTTCTGCAGAAATAGAAGAAGAACTAAAGAAGCTGAGGAAAAGGGAGATAAACAACTCCTAGATATGTGATACCATAAAGTAGAACAATATTGGAATAACGTGATCTCAGAAGAAGATGAGAAGGGATGCTGAAGATATACTGGAGCCAATTATAGTGGAGAACTTCCCTAATCTGGGGAAGGAAACAGGAGTTCAAGTCCAGGAGGCACAGAAAAAAAAAACCCTCAAAATGAATAAAATTAGGTCAACACCCCGAGATATAATAGAGAAACTTGCAAATCTCAGAGACAAAGAGAAAATCCTGAAAGTAGCTTGGGACAAGAGTTCTGTAACCTACAAGGGTAGAAACATTAGACTGCCAGCAGACATATCCACAAAGACCTGGCAAGCCAGAAAGACTGCCATGATACATTCAGGGTGCTAAAGGAGGAAAATATGCAGCCAAGAATACTTTATCCAGCTAAGATGTCATTCAAAAGAGGGGGAGAGATAAAAAGCTTTCAGGACAAACAGAAACTAAAAGAATTTCTGATGACTAAACCAGCCCTGCAAGAACTATTAAAAGGGATCCTTTAGGGGCTCCTGGATGGCTCAGTGGGTTAAGCCTCTGCCTTCGGCTCAGGTCATGATCCCAGGGTCCTGGGATCAAGCCCTGCATCAGGCTCTCTGCTCGGCGGGGAGCCTGCTTCCCTCTCTCTCTGCCTGCCTCTCTGCCTACTTGTGATCTTTGTCAAATAAATAAATAATTTTTTTTTAAAAAAAGGATCCTTTAAGCAAAGAGACAGCCCAAAACTAACATGGATCAAAAAGGAATAGAGACAATACACAGAAGCAGTGAATTTCAGATAATACAATGGCAATAAATTTGTATCTTTCAATAGTTTCTCTGAATGCAAATGGGCTAAATGCTCCAAACCAAAAGACAGAGGGTATCAGACTGGATAAAAAAAGCAAGACCCAGGGCGCCTGGGTGGCTCAGTGGGTTAAAGCCTCCGCCTTCGGCTCAGGTCATGATCCCAGGGTCCTGGGATTGAGCCCCATATCGGGCTCCCTGCTCAGCAGGGAGCCTGCTTCCCCCTCTCTCTCTGCCTGCCTCTATGCCTACTTGTGATCTCTGTCTGTCAAATAAATAAATAGAATCTTTAAAAAAAAAAAGCAAGACCCATTGATATGCTGTCTGTAAAAGAATCATTTTAGACCCCAAAACACCTCCAGATTGAAACTGAGGGAGTGGAAAACCACTGATCATGCTAATGGACATCAAAAGAAAGCTAGGTGGCAATACATCTGTCAGACAAATTAGATTTTAAGCCAGACTCTAATAAGACATGAGGAAGGACATTATATCATAGTTAAAGGGTGTATCCAACAAGATCTATCAACTATAAATGTTTATGCACCTAACATGAGAACAACCAATTATATAAGCCAATTAATAGCAAAATCAAAGGAACACATCAATAACAATGCAATAATAGTAGGAGACTTTAACACCCCACTCACTGCAATGCACAGATCATCTAAGCAGAAGATCAACAAGGAAACAAGGTTTTGAATGACACACTGGACCAGATTGATGTCACAAATATATTCAGAGCATTCCATCCTAAAGCATCAGAATAGACAATCTTCTCATGTGCACATGGAACATTCTCCAAAATAGATCACATCCTGGGTCACAAATCAGTTCTCAAGCGGTACAAAAAGATTGGGGTCATTTCCTGCATATTTTTAGGCCACAATGCTTTGAAACTTGAACTCAATCACAAGAGGAAATTTGGAAAGAATTCAAAAACATGAAGGCTGAAGAGCATCCTACTACAGAATGAATGGGTCAACCAGGATATCATAGAATAATTTTAAAAATTCATGGAAAGAAATAAAAATGAAAACACAACTGTTCAAATCCTTTGGAATTCAACAAAGGCAGTCTGGAGAGGGAAGCATATAGCAATACAAGCCTTTTTCAAGAAACAAGAAAGGTCTCAGGGGTGCCTGGGTGGCTCAGTGGGTTAAAGCCTCTGCCTTCAGCTCAGGTCATGATCCCAGGGTCCTGGGATCGAGCCCTACATCAGGCTCTTTGCTCAGCAGGGAGCCTGCTTCCCTTCCTCTCTCTCTGCCTGCCTCTCCGCCTACTTATGAGCTCTGTCTGTCAAATAAATAAACAGAATCCTTTAAAAAAAAAAAAGAAACAAGAAACAAGAAAGTTCTCAAATACACAACCTAAACTTTCACCTAAAGGAGCTGCAGAGAGAACAGCAAAGAAAGCCTAAATCCAACAGAAAAGAATTAATAAAGATTAGAGGAGAAATCAGTGAAATAAAAGGACCACTGGGAAGGGAGGGAAAACTGAACAGGAAGAAATCAGAGGTGCAGACTGCCATGAGAGACTCTGGACTCTGGTTAAAAAAAAGAAAAACTGAGGGTAACAGCAGGGAGGGGCGTGGGAGGGTGGGCTAATCGGGTGATGGGTATTAAGGAGGGCATGTGTGGTGATGAGCATGGGACGTTATACGCAACTAACAAATCATTGAACTCTATCAAAAACTAATTATTTAAGGGCACCTGGGTGGCTCAGTGGGTTAAGCCTCT